TGTCCCCCGGCGTGGCTCGGCCCTGGTGGCCCGTGCCAGGTGTGGTAGAAGCAGCTCTTTGCACAGGTACGATCACGCGGGTTTGCACACCCGGGAGCACTCAGCCGGCGAGAGGGGCCCCGTGAGACGTGCCCTCACCCCAGACGCAGGACACGGCGGGTTCTAGCAAACGGCTGGCGCTTTATTACGCTGACATCAATCCCGGTGCGGGAGGCGGGTCCCAGCCCCGGTGCAGCCGGCTCCAGGGGGATGGGGACCGGGTGGGTCAGCGCCATCCCCAGCCGGCTCCTCTGTGCTGCCGAATGGGGTGGACAGAGGGTTGGGGGGCCAGGTGCACCCCCAGTGCCCAGCACTCTGTCAGACGCCACTCGCGGCCCATGCACACACTTGTGCCTTGCACACATGCTCAGTGTGTCGCACGCTCGCTTCATCCTCACATTCACCCCGTTGTGCGTGTATACCACCCAGCATGCTTGTGCCCCCTCACTCCTCCACACACAGACTTGTGTCTCGCACGCTTGGATGTGCTCGCCCACCGTCTCTCACTCATCTCTGGCACACATGCCCCTGTGTCTGGCACACTCACCCATCCCTGTTGCACATGACCCTAGCCTTGCACACTCATCCCACACCACACATGCCCCAATGTCTCGCACACCTGCTCTCCATCACATTCCTCATCCTTGCACTCACTCCACTTCACACACCCCGTGTATCTCGCACACCCGCTCCCCATCACACATATCCCTTATATGTTGCACACCCACTCCCCATCACATATGCCCCCAGCCTCACACACTCGCCCCACATCACACTTACATGCACCCTCATGTCTCACTCACGCACGCACACCCCGGGCACATACACCCACGTGCCTTACATACATGGCCCCATCACACATGCCCCCCCAGTCTTGCACACTCACCCCAGTCCCATGTGCCCTCTGCCTTGCACCCCCTTTGCACTCACCTCGCAAGGTCACCTCGCACACTCACACCTACACATTCACCCCGTTTCCCTTCACGCGTTGCACACTCACCGTGCATCTCACACATTCATCCACACACTCATTGTGTCCCACGGACGCACACTCGCCACATCTCCCTCCCCCGCCCACAGCAGCAATCCAGTGGCTGTGGGTCCGATCAGCGGGGCTGGGTGGAAGAGCTGGGAGCCCTGGGGGAAAAAGGAAATCAGGTTACACGCTGGGGCCCAGGCAGAGGGGACATAAAGTTGGTGTCCCCCCCCTTTGCAAAAAGCCCCCCCAGACCTGCGCAGCCCCGGACTCAAGATTCACAGGGCCCTGCCCGCACCAGCCTACGTCGGTGTCTGTGACGGGGGCCCCGATCTCAGCTGGGGGGGAGGGGAGGGTCTGTGTGCCTGAGAACGGGCTGATGGGGGGCTGCACTGACCCCACCCCCCCCAGCCAAAGCTGGGGGGCCCTGGCGCTGCACAGACCCTAGTGAGACCATCCCGGCCCCAAAGGGCTGCCACACGAAACACACCAAAAATTATTTACAGATTGTCACAGAGCTAGGAAGGGAGAGAACCCAGGAGTCCTGGCTCCCAGCCCCCCCCACTCTAACCCAGACAGACAGGGGCAGACACACAGACAGACACCCGAGTGGCCCCCACCTGGGATAAGGCGGGGGAGGCGCGTCGTGGACTCCCGACGCCTCCAGTGCCTCCTGGTACGAGGGCAGCCCGGGGGGACCCAGCGGCTTGGGGTCCCCAGGGAGGCAGGTCAGGGGCACGTCGGGATTCAGGGGCACGTGGACGCTGTGGGGGAGACCAACAGGAGGATTATGGGGGGCACACACCCCTCCCCCAGCAAATCCACCTGGGGGAACGTCACCTCAGCACCTCCCCCGTGGGCCCTGTGCCGCTCCCGCCCCTTCCCCTCCCCTGGGGGTGCTGTGACCCCTCCCTTCCCCCTGGGGGTGCTGTGCCCCTCCCCCCAGCTCCTGCCCCTCTCCCTCCCCTGGGAATGCCATGCCCCTCCCCCATGCCCCTCCCCTTCCCTTCCATGCCCCTCCCCTCCCCTGGGGGTGCTGCGACCCCTCCCTTCCCCCTGGGGGTGCTGTGCCCCTCTCCCTCCCCGGGAATGCCATGCCCCTCCCCTTCCCTGGGGGTGCTGCAACCCCTCCCACCCCCTCCCCTTCCCTGGGGGCACCTCCCCCCCCC